AAAACCGGAGAAAACCCCCAATGAAAAAAAAGAAGACAGAAAAAAAAAAAAAAAAAAAAAAAAAAAACAACCTAATTCCCCTTTGACCTGTGACCAGTGTCACAGAGGGCACTGCTTTGCGGGAATGCAGATGAGTTTCAAGCAGAGTTTATGGCAGCATTGTTGCTGCTCTTCCTCATAAGCACTAAAACCTATCAGTGGACAACAGAAACCACCGGGCTAGACCAGGCCGACCAGGCATCACTCATTCACTCACCTCCTAGGTGCCTTTGTCAGGTGATTGCTGCCGGAAAAAGGAAAACAGATCAATACATCTCCCATGGGCCTGACAGGTAATCTTTACCTGGGATGAAATATGAGTGCAACCAGCCTGCCGGATTCCTTAACTGTAACAGGACAATTGACTAGCTCTACGGAAGCCATTCCCCTATTTCTGAGCCATTGTAAATTAATTTTGAGGCATAAGGTCTGGGAGAGGTGTCATTATGGGGACTGCTAATTATTCTGTGGCAGCCACTGACTAACCCATGCAGGAATCGATGCATCTTAATGTGAGTTTCCACTGCAGAAATCTTTACCACGAACAAGGAATCATTATTTTCTAAAGTTTCTAATCCACAATCAACAGAATATATAAATGAGTAAATGAGTGTGAAGTTTCTCGCATCATCGCGCTTCACTTCCCTTCCAGGGACATTTTTTTGGGCTAAATGTAACGTACTTTTATTAGGCCCTTTTTCATACAATGAAAAAAATTTAAAAAACACTGACAATTAACTAAACCAACACTGTAAAGCTCTTCCAGTTCAAAACACACATAAATACATCTCAAACAGTTGAGACTGAGACTGCTGTAAAAACAAATTTATATATATATATACATATATATATATATTTTTTTTATTAACCACTTTTTTTCTGTTTTACAATGATCATTAACCTGTGCAACTCCTATTTACCAGGTGTAATGCTGATGTGAAAAGGAGGGAAACCAGTAGCGGCTGTGGAGTTTGTGGAGATCTGAACACTGACGGATTTCTGTGGCAGCAACTAGCAAAGTAATGTGAAGCATCCATTTAAACTATAGTGTGCCCACACAGCATTTATAAATGTCATCCCTCCCCAGCATGATCACATAAATCCTTCTCACACAGATTATTGCAGACATATAACTCACATTAATTAGCAAATCTCATTTTATTAAATGCAATTCTTCTCTTTAAAAAGGCTTTAAAATATCTGAAAAGACATGTCATGCAGCTGGTGATTATGTTGTGAATTTCTGTAAAAAAAGGCCTTAAAAAATGTGATTAACTTTTGGTTAAAAACTTCATCAGACTTTTAGCATGGTACGCTGCTTACACTTGCAGTTTTTACTGGTTATAAGCAATATTTAACTAAAAACTTGGTTCTCTTAGTCTTATTTTTCTGTTTTTATATTTTTCAACCATGCATGTCTGAGCATGCATGCTTCTAGATATCTGTACCCTTCTGCTGCTGGTACAGCTGAATTTCCCCACTCAGGGACAATATAGGATACTTCTACTTTCCTCTAATTATGGTGGATGATCTGTGACCTGGTGGGCCTCTTTCTTTTCTAAATTTTCAGGGAGCTTTGTTAAAATGTTGTACATCGTGAACTCATTAAAATATGATGACATTTTAAATTGGAATCTGGTGAACTCTACCAGAAAAATAAAAAAATGGGTAATTTTGGAACATTATCCAAAATATATGGTCAAATCAACACAGAAATGATTCACCGAACACACAAACAACCTTCTTCTTTTGCCACCGCAGTGCCTGGACCTGCAGAAAACCTGTTGATTGAGCTGAAGTGAAGGGAACATTAAACCAGTTCAGGACTCTGGATCAAATGGGGAGAAGGCCGAGGAATCCTCAAAGATCTTTCTGCATGTATGATCCAAACAAGTGACACATTTTATGAGACTAAAATTGTCCTACTGACAAAAATGTGGGCTGTAAAATATACTGATACGAGTTTCATCACCGGGTAAATGTACTCACATTGTAGGTGACTGAATTTTCTACATTTTTCAAGTGAGATAATGCTACTACACTAAAAGCTGAATTGATTTTATTGCTTTGCACATCTTTTTCTACACACCTATTTATTTGCTTTGCTCAGATTATTTTGTTTGTTTCCTCTGTTTGCTGACATTGATCTCCTAGAGGTGAAACCACTTGGAAACTATATACCCAGAGGGGTTTTGAAGATACTGTGTATAACCCTCCTTTCCCGTTTCCTGACGCTCCTCCAGCTCCAAAAGCAACTCAGCCAGCATTGCTAAAAAAAAACAACAGCTTTTTCAGACAGATTTTACAGCCAGCCTTGAACTTTAAATCTGTTTGGGGAAATTTGAATATAGAAGGCAACCTGAAGAGAACAGAGGAGGCCCTCCGAGGACCATGACTATGCTCCCTCTGTGTTGTGCTAATGAGGACCTTTGTAGCAACTGTAGCTTTTCAAATCCATGCTAATAGGAGGCCTGTACTTTGTGTGGCTCGCCAGCGGTGGTCGCCTCTCTTAACCCCGCAACAGCATGTGGCAGCTAAACATTGTGATGTTCATCTCCCTCGGAGCTAGCTGCTTTACAGCCATTGTTGGTTGCCTTAAAGTGGAGCAGTCGCCCCCTGGTCAACGAGCCTCAACTGACCATACTTTCCGAGGTTCCTGCTGACAAGTGCTGTGCTACGGGAGTGGACATAATTAATGAATTATGCAGTGGCGGGTGGCCTGGAGACTCAGTGTGGAAACAGGAAGAGCAGTAAAGTCTTGAGTCGAACGAGGAGCCACTTGAAGCTGCCTTCTTGCTTAAGGAGATGGCGGAGCGCTTAACAAGGCTTGATTGCATTAACATTTGTCATGCTTAATATACTACCTGGAAGGGCTGGATCGAGCAGGAACATGCTGATTTGAAGACTAATGATGTGCTTTTGTATTTTTCTTTCTTTGTCGTAAAGTTTGTGGAGTAGAAGGAGGTTCTAGCTATTTCGTTCTCAGGCACAATCGCTTTAGGAATTAGATGCGTCTGTCAAGCCTCTTTCAAGTGTCCTCGTGGTTGCCCTGGAGTAAAGACGAACTCTCAGGCTCAGCAGAAGTAGGAGACTGAGGTGTACTTGGTCCTACTGCTTCAGGGATTGGTGTGATACTGCAGGCACCTCCTTTTGCCTCCTTTCTCTGCTGATCTTTATGAAATGGGTTGATAGCTAAAAAGAAAGACAAAGAGCATTTCAAATTTTGAAACATGGGGCAAAAAATAAAAAAAAAAGGTTCAAATACGGGTGGATCGATAAATTAGTATATTAGTGAAAAGTTTATTGATTTCAGTGACTCCAGACAAAAAGCGAAATTTGTAATTTATATAGTTTTATATAGGTGTAAATGTATACCTTAAATATGACCTAATATGCCTCCTTAGGTTAAGATAGGTCTATGGGCTACATAAAATATGTTGATTAAATTTTTTATAGCAGTGTGTGTAGTTGCAAAGTCCTGCTGGAAAATAAAATCAACATCTCCATGAATCAGCTTGTTGGACTTCAGAAAAGATATTTGGACCAACACCAGCAAATGATGTGGCTACTCAAATAATCACTGACTGTAGAAACTTCATTCTTCCTCATACTCTGGAAACTTTGATTTATTTCTAAATTCAAATTTAGAAATCTCTGTATATACTGAATGGCAATAAAATTAGTTAAATAAATTAACATTTGATGATATTCTAAATTTCTCACATGTGCCTCTAAAATCCCCCTTTGTTTGCTCACTGAAGCTACTTGAATTAAAACAATAAATCAAATTCAGAACTCAGGGATCCCTGCTTTGAATGTGTGGAAATATAACTGAAGCAATCCTCTACTAATAAGTTAAATATTAATGAGATTTTGGTCATGTGAGCCAAATCCAATTTGGCCCCATACGACTTGAGGACACGGATATTAAAAGGCCAATTTTTCCAGCTTTTTAAGCTTAACCAGTTTTGTAGCATTTATGTTTTTAACTCTAATCATCACACTTCGTCTGTCACTGACACCTTCCCCGTTACAGATCCTCTTTGGTTTGGAAACAGCAGAGCGCATTTTCACCGGAGACAGAAGAACAAAGGAACAAATTCGCTCCCTAACCTGCTTTCCTGCAGCTTCTACTTCAGTTTTGATAAATAAATCCTTCCAGGTCGCCACCCCAAAAAGGTAGCACCAGTCACACAACGTATTTTCCAGGCAACCCCACAGCAGAGGACAAGGCAACTAGAAGTGACATTGTGGCTGTGGGCTGTCCCAAAGGATTAGGCATTACAGCATTCACTGGCATGTGCTTTAGTTCTTTCCCCTTATATCTGCTTGTGGCTCTTTCCAGATGACTTCTTCCCCAAACTGATCCGGCGGGCAAGATAATTGATTAATATTTCTTGAGGGAATGATGGCTAACTGCTGCTGAGGTCCAATCTAAACACTTCGGGTTAAACATAGTCAAAGGGCTTGATCAAAATTCAGGAGTTTTCATATTTGACAGATACAAAGAAATGGCAGGGAACATTAGTTTGAGTGCATTAGCATGAGCGAGGTGCACCACATACCAACAAAAGTCCAACGTGAAGGTCAGAGTCAGGACGAGACAACGCAGTCACAGTAGAAACAAAACAAACCCCCTTCAAATTAAATGGTTTTTATGCAATTTATATGTATCTAGGGTTTTAGGGTAATTTTTTTTACATGCTTTCCCACTTTATTTTAAAATGATGAAATTTAAAATTATTTTAAAATAGATATCCACAATATCTTGAATTGCACTCATCACCGCAATATTAATCATAATCAGAAGCAGCACCATCGCTATTACCAGCTTCTTGATAAAAATGCCTCTTCTTCAAAAGTACATGCAGCAAAATGTGTCTTTGTGACAGACTCAACGTAGCAACCTGCGTCAAGATCACAACTTGATCTGGTTCTCTGCTTAGGTTTTTCATACATATAATACTATTTTTTATTGGAGTTTTTAGTCTAAATAATCATCTGCTTAGAGATGGAAAAAGTTCAGGACTGAAAATAAAAAAATACCTACAAAAGCCTACAGAAAACTTTGAAAGGCCTTAATAAACCGTAAAGAAATATTCCTCAAATGTCTTTGAAAAGATTACTGGCACCTTGAACGGAAAAGTGAGGGATTACTCAAGAGTTTTGAACAGTATTTTACAAAACCGCCTCTTTATGTGATATTATATAAAGACAAGACACCAAAGTATTTTATTAGGATGTTTTGAACCTCCAGTCAAACTTAATAAACATTCTCTCCCACAACCAACACACCACATGTCGCCCTGCAGTGAAACATGGTGGTGAAAGCATCATCCTGTGGGGTTGCACAGAAAGGATTAGAATGGTCTAGTCAAAGTTTAGACCTGAATCTAACGAATCTGACAAAAGAATTAAAAATTGCTGGAGTGGATTTTATTTAGGAATATCAGCGCAAACAAGGTTTGTGGAAATATAGAAAAGCTGAATCGAAACTAGAAACATGAAGCCATATGAAAAAATGCAATAAATTTTATATAATAATATTTAAGAGGGAATTTATGTGTTTAAATGATAACTTTAAAGAAAACTGAGTAATGCGTTCCTTTAGTGAAGCAAAAGCAACACCTGCAATCAAGGAGTTTTACACCAAGGTCAGTAAAGAAATTAGAATGCAACGACTCTCTGTCAGAGGAAGAATTACAGTACATACATTTACTGTGGGTGATAATGGGAAGTTGAATGGAACCACCTCACCATCTTAATAAGCTCTTATGAGATGCTCTCTAAAAACAATCATTACAGGCCTTCCTGGAGCACTGCCGCTCCCCCTGTTTATTAATCAGCTAATTACACATTGACAGTAATGGGCCTGCTGATTCCCACACTTAAATGAACAGGGTTGAATGGCTCTTTAATGATTAGCCTTTGTGTTTCTCTCTCCCTCTTTTTCTCTGCTGCTCCCTCTCTTGAACACACACACACACACACTCACGCACACGCACACACACGCACGCACACACACACACAAGGCTGTTTTTACAAATGCAAAAATAAGACGTTCAAATCAGACCTCCCGCCAAGAGGGTTTGCACACAAGTCAAGAAGCACCTGACAGAATGGGCTGCTAAAAACAAATATGTCTCCATAAAGACAAACAGAAAACCGTGTGTATGCAAAGGCAGCTGTTAAGTGGAGCCTGTACATCAACCTGCGTGAATTTCAGTGCTAAACTTACCCCGCAGCAACGTCAAAAGCCCCCCCAGCACGTAAAAGTTTGGTGGAGCAGCGCAGACAGGTGCAGGTAGAGACCAAATAAATGGGGGTGGGGTTTGAAGGACAAGAGCAGGTTGTGGAGTGGAGCTTGAGAGGGCAAAATAGTGCGGTGGGCTGCATTTCTGTCAGCACAAGTGATGGCTGAGTGGTAGCGTTATTTGTCTTGTGCTGCCACGCAGCCCTCGCACCAGGCTGGGCATTAATGAGAGGGGGCCGGACCGCCGGGCAGGAACGCAGCGGGTCTCCGGCGCAGGTGATCTGTCACCCTGCCGTCTCGCTTGGGCAAGGGGACACATGAAGGCAGAGGGGGGAGAATAGGTGGCCTCTCCATGGCTAAGGGCTGGCCTGCACCTGCTGGGCACCCACATTGTACCAACACATCAAAACAGAAAACAGTCTGATGTTGACTAACTTGACTATAAACAAGCTTAATTTCTTCCTGGAACAATCACCATATACACACCTAAATCAGATTATGGACCAAAAATCTTGAAACTATGCAAGCACATATATCCCAGCCTACCATTTTCAGCCAATTTAATAAATTATCACCACCGATAAACGGCTGCATTTGCATACTTATATCTCTGTGACTGAACCAAATAAAGCCCAGAACACTTCACAGACAAGTATTTTAATTTCAGTTTTAAGCAAGACTGATCCTTTAGGATGAAAATTCATCTTACTGTGAGAAAAGTAATTGCAGAGAAACTTGAGTTGCTATTAAAATGCCCTTGCAATAACATTCCCACAGCTACATTACAGTAGCAGGGTTAAACTTTCACAAATATGTCAAAAATGGACAGATTATTTGGAGACAAGTGAGACTTGTCCAGTCACTGGCTCCCAAACACAAGTCCTCTGGTGACCGTGGCTCAGTGAAATGAAAGCAACACATTTCAATGTTTCAAATAACAAGTTTTGTTGGAAGAGTTCTTACTCCACTGGCCAATTATGGGCAAAGCAAGATCATCACAGAATGATTTCCATAAGGAGCCGGTTTGTTAGATCTCCAAACTACATCAGAAAAGAGCACTAGCTAAATTCCCAATGTAAATCCTTAATTTATGAATTAAACTTTAACATTATCGCTCTATATTTTGTGCACAACTGCCTGTTTTTCTTTTTTTTTCTTTTTTACACACTGGGACTTCTGAATTTCAAACATATATCTGAATAGAGTTATTGAAAGCGACAAGCCTGAAATCAAAAGGGGAAGGTTCTAGTCTTGATAATATATTCCCTTAAAACTATTAAATGGGGAGAAAGAAGAAGAACAACAAAAGTATCTTTTGTTCAAAAACTTGTTGGACTGAGTTGAATTTCTGGATTGGCAGGAAGGAAAGTAGAAAGTCTCCAATTTAAAGCTGAGAAGTGGAGTGGTCATCTAATCCAAACAGATACCTGGCCTGATAAGTTTTCGTGTTTTGTTGGGTTTTTTTTTGTTTTTTTTCTTCACGACCAGGTTTAGCAGTGCCGTGAAGGTGCTAAAAGGGTAAAGAAAGAAGACAAAGCAACAGCTGGGTACCGCCTGAGTAATTTCCCGTGGAGTCCCGGAGGATACCTTCAGCCACAGACCATTTTCACTCCTGATTACAGAGTTCCAGATCCAGCCACTAACATATACAACAATCCACTTCCTCTGGCTAATCCAAAGACTCAGCTGTCGTGTTCACTAAGAGTAATACGTCGCTCTTTCTGCTGAATGCAGACAACAATCTTTCCATGCAAACAGGATGTCTACCGGAAAACGACTTCACTCAGTAAATCACAGAATCTGATTTGCCTCTGTGCACATTTATGTCAGAGTGGCAGCAAACCAAAATTCCTGTGCGGAGAGTGTGAAAGCTTGTCAGAGTAAGTGTGCATCTCCTGGAGGTCCTGTGATTACTGAGCAGAGACATGGTGCAGGGGGCTGCCAAAGTAAAGATTTATACAGAGCAGTTGCAGCTGCAGAAACTGACATTGGACGACATGGGATGCATGATAAATCATAGTGGGCAGGGGGCACTAGACTCAAGAAACAGTAAAGCAGTCCGAACAGGGTGGGAGAGGATGTGCAGTTCAGTAACGCTCCCTCTTTATCATCCCCTCACGTAGACAGACTTTAATATTAAATTCAAGCAATTTTAAATTCACAATTTCTGTGCAAATCGCAATAAAAACATGCAGAATTCTACAAAAAATAGATATTTTCAAATTGATTTCATTTTCAGTCTGTTTATAGTAGACTACAGGTTACCTGTCAACAGACTGAGGGATGTCCTGCTTCTGCATGTTGAATACAAGAGGTCCTTAGGGGCCAGGGGTGAATCTGTTTTTTTTCTACTTTTATGGGAAGAGGTTCAGCACTGGGAAGGTGAAGGACAGAATTGCCAGCTATTCCATCACTCAGTGCAATAAATGGATCCAATCTGTATCCAAGCTAAGCATTGGCTGTTTTTAAATTCCACCTCTTTTATCCAAATGAATGATGGACCCCAGTACAGAGCCCTGTGCAGCAATATTAATATACATCAGGGGCCCGCACCCCTCAGTAAATCATGGAACCACCAGCATTTGTTATTTAAATGACAAACTGCAGCTGCAGGAGTGTCGAACGGAGAGGAAATGGTGGACAAACCAATTCAGATTTCAATCCGGTAGAGACACAAGGTTCAGAGCCATCAGGCTAATGAAAACAGGCAGCTCCACTGGTCTAAACACACACAGCACAGACAGCTTAATGTCTTCTGAGATAGAGTAAACTCTGTGTAACGCCAATTATCACTTCTCTGTGCTAAACCTCTCCTTACCACCTTACCAAATAATCAATATTTGATTGCAAGTAATGAAAAGTTTAAACTTTTCACGTTTTGCCACATTAGAAGCATAAAATTCAATATCATTATGATTTCAATTACAGAATGAAATGTAATATATAATTGTGAAATGAGCAGAAAGGATATGTGGTGCACAAAATGTTTTCCTAAAAAAATGTGTGTGATGCATTTGTATTCAAAGCTCTTTAGATAAAATCTAGTGCAACTTATTGCCTTCGGAAGACATCTATTTAGTAAATAAAATCCAACTGTGAACAATTTAATCTCAGTTATTAGAGAACATTAGAGCATAAGGAAGACTAAGCAAACATATGTCCAGAGACAATGGCTTAGTTAAGAAGTTAAAACATTGTGGTTATAATCTGCTTTAGGCAAAGATAAAAAACAGACACAGCAGAGGATAGTTTCTGCTGTGAAAAAAGAAGCAAATCTGACATTTTTCAGTAGCTTGTAAAATGCTATTGTGCTGTCACAAATGTCCATTTCATATCTCCCCTTACTGCTCTTCCATTTTTATTGATACAGGCCTATAATACCACTCAAGTAGATTGTTTCATAAAAATGTTTGTTTTCATGTTCCAAAAAGAACATTCTGCTTTGACTTGGTGTTTCTGTTGTGTGTTGACAATAACCACACTGAGAAGAACAAAGATAAATAAATAAAGCTGGAGACTAGAGTGGAGTTGTGGTAATAGACTGAGATGGACAAACCAGCTTTGTTTTTAATAATGTAGAACAATAAGTAAGGGCAAAAACAAATTCCCTACACATTTGTCACGTAAATACTCAAGATTTTTTCAAACTCCAATTTTTAACTACTTGTCAGTCTCTTTTTAAGTGTAAAATTAGAACTTTATTATGAATTCAGGGCTTGCTTGCTTAGATGGATGAATGGACAGACAGTCAGATGAAATTTAAATAGGCAACAAAGTCTAGTAATTGCAAAGGGATCCTAAAATCAGGAAAAATCCTTTTACCAGTAATTTGTACCAAAGTCTCTTTAAAGAAAATCATGTCAGTGCTACATTTCAACACCATCATTAAAAATAACGTCTAAACTACAGAAGTTGCTAAACTACAGAAAAACATATGTAATACAATTGCCTTTTTCAACATCTTTAAGACGTAGTTTCCAAATTAGTGCACATGTGTGACTGTGTGAAGGCTGTTACCTGATGCTGTGATGAAAACAGCTTCTGTTTCTTTCTTCCTCCGCACATCAGATGAGCACAACAGTCCCGGAATGAAATTAATCTGCCTGGAGGGCCAGTGAGACAAAAACATCACCAAATCATGAAATCATTTTACAGAAGTCAATAAAAACCAGCACTGCACATTTGGAAGCACACTTTGTTTGCAGTCATCCATGCATTTTTGTCATGTATACATTTTTCTTCATTAAGCTGTTTTTTCCATAACTGAAATGAGTAGAGATGCTGAATCAGAGCCATTTTTGTGTTAAACACATGACCCTGCTCTGGGCTACGTGCGTCATGTTAGGATCACTGCAAGCAGAAAAGCTTCATCACTGATCTCAATGGCTCTGAATATTGGAGAGAAGAATTTAAGTTCAAGGACTGCTCCTTCATCTGGGGGTAGGAGAGACTTTTAGTGTAGGCGCAAGAGTGAAGTGACATGAATATTTAAGCTGAAATGTGCAATTATGGTGTCTTTTACATTCCTTAACTTTATATAATATTTTTCAAAAGCTTTAACAAAGTGTGACATGAACTGAATATCTCAATAAATCTTCAAGACAACATCTTAAAACAGCAGAAATGCAGACAGAGGAAAAGTAGGACATCCCCCTCAGACACCAGGCTGCATAAAGCTTCACGTCCGTTACAGACACATTGTACAGCGAGGTCCTATCAGGCCAGCGTTTTAACTGGCAACCCATTCCATGACCTCAACACCCATAAATCACATGACGGGTGTGCAGGCGCTGGGTGTTGAGAGCTGTTCAGGGCATGCTTTGAGCGAAGTCCCTATGTTGTATAATCAATAGATATAAAAATAAATGGCCTGACCGTTATTCTCTCCCTGCTACCTTTCTCTAATAAAATCCCAGTAATGCATATTTCATTTACTTTTATACTTATTGATTACCTGTACTCCAGTTAGTAAATCACGCGCCTATCGATCCCTCAATCGTACCTCTGTCGGACAGCACATAACCAGCCATTTGCGCCCCTGATAAAGAGCTCAGACATTGAACTCCCCACAGTAAATCTTTGCAAACTAACTTTTTAATTCCAAAATCGATCCACATTTAAACGTCGCATTATTTCACAAGGCACGCCTGCAGCATTAAAATTAATACCGTGATGCATTTGGCCTTAAAGTATGGAGGGCCATCCCTCTATCTCCTTCCTCACTGCATCGAGGCAGCGACATGCAGCCAAACGGCAGCCTGGAGGGAGGAAAGCGCCCTTTCCTGCTGCAGACTGCTGGGAGACGGAGCCTCTTCGGGGCCATCCGGAGCCCACTGAGGCACTCAGCACAATCCTAATCAAACATGAGAAAACTATCAGCTGGCTCATTAAGCAGGGGAAAATACTACCAATTATTTCAGCAGAAACTGCAAGCTTCAACTGTCAGCAGTTGTTCAAAAAAAAAAAAAAAAAAAAAGCACTGCAGTGTTATTATTATTTAACATCTGTTACTTCATCAGTTTTCAAAAGCTCGACAGATGTCTCTGTCTAAATTTACTAAAAGTGCAATGCAGGAGCAAAGACTGACTTTGAGGCTCTATGCAGCAAAAAAGGGGGCCAACAACTAAATGCTATCAAAGACACAAGGACACAGAGAAAAATGTGCACAAGATAGATTTTTTTAGGTCATATGAGACTTTAAGACACAATGAAGTCCCTCAGGGTGCTAAGTAAAACAGCACTGACACGGGGTCAATTGTAATTTTAGCGCACACATCCAAAAGCAAATATATCAATTAGAAATGATGAATCAAAAGCAGAGGGAGAAGTCGCAGTTAGAAAAACGACCATCTATTTTCATTAGTGTACATGCTGCTTCAGGTGTGAGCGGGATCTCAAGATTAATAGAGGAATTCAAATGAATCAGAAAGGATTAGGCTCTCCAGGGAGTATAATCAATAACTCCAAATCAATAATCAATAGGCCACTCACACCAATATACTAACTGCTGACACTGTGATCTCACAATTAAAATGAAAACTGGGAAGGGAGTGGTGTAAGACTATGATTTATCTCGTAGCGCAAGTGTCATTTAGGAATAAATAAGTCAATAGATAAAAGATGTTAGTCCTGTGCAGCTCGGCTGGGAGGCAGTCATGCATTTTAAAGTGGCCAGTGGCCCCGATGCAACCTAATCCCACAAAACACTGCGTCTGCTCACACAAAGATTCAAAGATAAGAAGAAAACACTCTAAAACATAAACAGAGACAGTAAGATGAAGCGGTCTACGTCCTTTATAGCTGCCTGGATTTTGTGAAGTGCAACAGTAGTTCTGGCAGCAAGCAGTCCCACACCATGATCCTGCCACTACCAGGAATGGTATAGACCAGAATGATTAAAAGCTTGATTCATTCTGGAAAATCACACTGGTAATCCAGCTGTTTCAGGGTTATTCCAGGATTGAGCTTTGGTGGTAAATGGGTTGTTGTACAAATGAGAATGAGAAAAAAAAAATCTTCCTGAGGTCTAATGGAGTCTCCATGAGTGGTCAGTATCTTACCTGCAATAGTTCTTAGGGTTGTCAGAGTTGGGACAGAGATAAAAAAAAAAAATGTTTTTCAATAGTAACCTAATTTCCTAGGACTCAGCACAGGAATGTAGTTGCAATATTTTTCAGAGCAAAACTAATAGATGATATATATTTTTTATTTTCTAGTTTCTGGGGGTCCCCCCCCTTTCTAATGCCACCCTGGGCAACTGTCCAACCAGCCCACATCAAAAACCAATATAGCACCAGTCTCAAATCTTTCACAGGATGTAAAGTGTTTAAATCAATATTTACCCTGTAAGTAGCTCCATCCATCCAGAAACCACACCTACAGAATGATGTTGTCACTTCCATGTATCATGTATGGTGCATTGTTTGGCTATTGTTCTGCACAAATTGTCTTCTCTTACTTAAGCAGCTTCTTCCATATGTCTGTTTCCTCTACTAAATCATTTCTGAAGACTTCTTGAGGATTTCTACCAACAATGAAAATCAGAAATATGTATTGCACAGCTAATGCAAGAGATTGACAGCTTTCGATCTGCACAACTCCTCTAGAGTTACCATAACTCTCCTGACTAATTATGTTCTGAAATGTTTTTTTATTTGCAAAATTTTTAAAATGACTCACTACTTTGAGTCACATACAATACCATTAATACATCAAAAGTTTCTGTTGTATTGTGAGAAAACGTGAAAAGTTCAAGAGGTATCATTACATTTTCAAGTAAACTGAAGAGAGCCAATCAAAACCGACCACTAAGAGACATTTCTGTTTGTATGTAATTGTTTAGGATGAACTTGACTGACCTAAGCACAAGGCAGCCATATCACTGGAGAGTGGATTTGAACACCTCGGGGAGACGGATTCAGCTTGTGCCGTCCAACGAAACACATCAGAAGCCCTTCTCGTCAATCCCCTCCCACTCTCTCCCTCATTCATTTGGGAGTATGATTTATACTTTTTGAAGTGAAGGGTCTTGAATCCCACTATAAAGGAATTAAGAGATCTCCCCTGAGTCTGTCATTCAAATGAGAGCATGGCAGGGATATGAGGGCTTTTTAATAGGAGAAATTAGTATTCGCAATGCCTTAAACTGGAATCTGAAGGAACCTTTCAGGTGGAGAAGAAAGGGCCAGTTTAGAAAAGAAAGCCCTAAGAAGTCGGGGGCTTTTCATAGCAGTCGTGTTTTTGCCCCTCATCAAGAAGTGCCTGAGCGCTCTGTGAAATAACCCAAGAGAGTGGGGAAGGAAAGGCGTGTGGATATGTGTGTGTGAAACAAAAATTAGGAATGCACCATAAATAGGCAGAGTGGAAACAACACAATGAGAAGTCCCACAGTCTCCAGGCCAAGAGGGCTGCTCAGTTCCTCAACAGCTCCCCATGCAGATCCAACTGTTCCAGGGAAGACTGGGAGCGACGAGACGCTTTGACAAACATCTTTTGGATTTCTCTAACGCTTCTTTGCCAACCCAGAAATGGTGGAATTTAAATCAACATTAAGTCAACAAAGCATTTCTCTATTTGTAGTACCTGACCTTGAAAACTAGTAAGTTGAGCCGAATCTGAGAGGTACTTCAGTGGCTTACTGTTGTTAGCTTAGCTCCAACTTTGGAACTAGATTTTCATTAATGGACAGATTTTATTTGGTCAAAACATTAGCTTTATGCAGGAAAAATATATATTTGAATGCATAAAACTAAAAAATTACATGTAGTTACAGTACCTTAAAAATGTACTAGCACCATTTTGTATTTTCCATGTCTTGTCACATCACAACCAAAAACAGCAACGTATTTTGCTGGGTTTTTATGTAACAAACAAAATTTAGTAGTGTAAAGTTATGAAGTAGTCATAGTAGCTGTTGTTTTTCAGATTTAATGGTATAATAAAAATCCTTATTACACTGATTCTCCCAACATTGGGTCACAGTGGGGATGGTGTATTCAAAGTTATCTGCTGATAGTTTTCTGCCTCATACAGCATTTTGTATGTAGACCAAATAAAACATGTTCTTCCACATGTTTGTGGTCTCAATTATAAACCATTGTCAAATATAGCAGATAGTACTAGTGGCTTTCCATTAAAAAACAGTTTTCTTCTGCACCATCTTCCAATAATGGCAGACTTGTGGAGAGCACAACTGTGGTACATACCACAGATTAAAAAAAACAACTATTATCTCACTTCTGCTTTAAAATAATGTGCTATACTTTTGCAAGATACAACAGGTGTAACCAAAGTGGGTATTTGCTCCAAAGCAAACAAAATGAATATATATACTTGTTTGTTAATCTGCAGACTATTATCTGACAATAGACAATGGTGCTTCGTTTAACTTTTTTCAATACCTACCTGCTTCTGATGGATGGAGGGGAACATCTGACATAGGAACCTTCTGACATCATGTCACTGGGACACATCGGTAGTGGGCACAAAGGGTTCAACTGTAAATTTCAAGTGTCAAATTTAACATTGAAAGTTTTAACAGAACAAAAGCAAAATTGCACAAAAATGATTTGATGTCATAACATGCCTGGTTTCTGTCTTGATTCCCAACAGAAGGCAGCCAGAATCTAAAAGGATACAACAAAACAATGAATGGTAAAATCCACATGGCAACCTCAGTTTCAGCAGAATCTCTTTGTGAGTCTTACTTTCTCTGGCAATGATCTGCAGAGAAATGTCTCAGTCTTTCCACAAACACTGGCATGTTGTTGCTCTGTTCAACAAAAGTTGCACAAAACAAAACAAAGCAAAGTTGGTACAACAGTTTTTGGCTTCTTTGACATTAATGAGGACGCATTTCTTTTACCTTTCTAGGAAGACGCCTCCTGTCCCGCCTGATGCAGCAGGCAGCAGAGCAAGGCAATCGTTTAGGACGTGAATGATACCCTGCAACAAGTAAAAAAACAACTTTATCTCCGTTTCCTCACAGCTGATTGAAACCAATTGATACTTGTTTTGGTTATTGCACTCTAACATAAAACAAATGAAGCTGTTTACATTTCTGGCAATGATGAGGGAAATAAGAGCCACAGGCACAGAGTGTATAAAGAAGGACATGACTAGCTAGCCAGCTAGCTGGCTATTTAGCTAGCCAGTCAATCAATTCGCTAACTGGCTGGCTATTTGGAAGGATGGATGGATGTTGCTTTTTAAGGCAGAACTGGAAAACTCTGACAGTCTGACAGTTTTTCCAAATTGTGCAGCAACCCTGAGACTCACCCACATGGAGCCTAAACATCACAGAATCCCCCAGTTATATCCCTAAAAAGAAATATAAAAACTTTGACCACCTCTAACAGCGCGCCGTGCAGGTTGGAGGAAGTTGGTGGAGGATTGTCTATCCTCAAGTGAAAGCGGGCTGTCAGAGTCCCAGTTGGGCAGCAGGCCGACTCCGCAGTCCCCTTCAAAGAACCAGTCGCTCTGCTCATCATCACCTGCACACATGGGAAGGTAAATGCATGATTGGTTGCAGTGATATTGCCTGATAAACACTGGTTCTTTTCTAAACCATTTGATTGTGGGCAAATTTAAAAGCCTGACGTTTCTCAGTGGACTGCGCAGCACCAGACAACACTGGTTCTTCCCCAGACAGCGAGCTGATCTCAGGCCTGTCACTCAGCAAACTGTCCACAGGAACCATGCCTCTCACAGTCAAGGTGTAGTGACAACTGTTAAATCAGAGGCCGCCCGGCCCCACCGCGGCTAATGAGATTAGCAAAGGCTTCAGCGCTCATTAACACGACATGACAACGTCTTATTAGAGTCGCCTGGGTGCCCAGCAACCAGCCCATTGTAGCTAAACCTCTTTATCCAGCCCCAGAATTCACTCAGAATTGAGCACAGGCATGTTCACAAATTTTTCAAAAAACGCTATATGTTAAGGCAGATCAATTCGTGATACCTTGTCTTCCTTCATCATTGGTGAACAGACCGGGGTCACTGCTGCACGTGCTGCTGGTTTCCCTGCAAAGAAAAGACACAAGGGAAAAAGAAAATAAGGATCTAAGACTTGTTTGGATCAATTTGGAGGTCGGATGAATGTTATGGAATCTGAAAAGTGAACAATGTAAATTAAGAATTTAGATGCCCCCTGAAATATCAATATTTAAAATGTGGCATTCAATAACAAAAATAATGAAAAAGAGCAAAGCCGGAGGTCGACATGAATAGAAATGACATAGAAAGACAGAGCGCTGTGTGTTTCTGCCTCGTTGCGATGGCGAATACAAAGGCATCAGGAGGGACTCTGATCGAAGCCACTGAGTGACACGAACAATCTAATTGAATATCCTCCGCTGTCAGCTCCAATCTAATCTGGCCCACATTGTGGAGGATGACAGCACTGAGAAGCACAGTCCCCCTGGCCGCCCCTCCCTTTGGGTGTGCCCCTCACACACAACAATCCACAGACATGCCACCACTTCCACGCAGCAACTGGCTGATATTTGCTGTGTGGGCTGCCATCGCTTACCATCCAGACCGCCCCACTGCTGGTCCCCTCCACACCCTCCGGCAAACCCCTCTTACTGGAAATCTCAAAGCTAAGATCATTATTCATAAGGGAATACACTTGGAAACTACTATTTCACTAATGCCAGTTACTAAGAGTGGTACTCAAAAATCTAAGTTGCACAGTGGTAATTGATTATTCAATCAATTATTCTGATAATTAATCAAACTGAAAATAATCTGTATTTTCGGATTTTTCATTTAACGATGTAAACCTTTTTTATACAATGTTAGAAATACATAAAAAAATAAGCGATTCAATTCCTTTTGTAATTGAAAAAATAAGCATTTTATTGCCTAAAATGAAATAACATGCCATTCCTCTAATGAATTTGAACCAGGTGAAGCTAAAACTCGGCCACTTAAGAAGTTTTGGCAAAAAAATTATTTACAGACAAAGGATTTTTTTTATACCTCAAATGCAAAATATATACTTATTTTGCACAGACTTGGCTTAATTACTGCTCTGAGTATGTGGTTTTTACAGCAAATTTACCTTTTTGAGTCTGTATACTCCAGTAAACAATTAATCAATTACTAAATTAGTTGACAATTATTTCAATAAGAGAATCATCACGATTAATCCCACCAGCCTTAATAATTAATGACAGAAAGTTTTAAATGTAACTTCCAAAACTATTATACCTGTTTTGCAATAACTGTGTAACTATGTTTTACAGTGACACCTCTCTTCATTCTGCTCTGAAGATGTATAATTAATAACTGATCCACTTGCATTATAAATTGTGTTGTCATGCTTCAGTTCAAAAATTTTAGCAAAAGTAGCAAAGGTCAGAAGATGTTTTAGAAAATCTAAAGATGTCTACAATTTAGATAGTTTAGAAAACTGAAAAGAAAATCTTACGCCTTGGAAGGAAAGTACGTACAATTAAGAGGTGGTTTAATGATTTTGCAGAGTTGAACTCAGCGGTTTTATACTGTAGGAATTTGTTTTATAAATAAGTTGCAGTCATTAATTACAGCAAAAAGTGAAACATTTTATATGACAAAAATGTCCAGGATTTTGATTCAAGAGTGGCAGCTGTATTGTTTAAGTATTGAACTTTATGTTACTCTAATGGAGAGGAAGCTGAGTTTTCCTGACTCTCTTGCAGATTGCTTCCTGTTTATCATCTCTGACCTTGCTTGCAGGTCTGGAGGGTTCGATATGTGCTGATACAGAGCTTCGCCATATTGCACAGGGCTCTGAGTGACGTCAGGATAAGAAAACGTCCATCCAGACTGTCCATCTAATCCGCGGCCAGATGGTCGCGCATCATCTCCCCGAACATCCAAGAGAAGCAGATGCGAAAGGGGAGACGGCATCTCCCGGGAATCTGGAAGATGTCTGGCCCAGCCCTGGACCGTCCCTCCTCCCCCATCCTCCCTCACCCAACGCCTTCAACCCCGTCTCTCCAGACTGATTCCCCGGGTCGCTCCTCAGTAACGATGGAAACATCTGCTGACATTTGATGCATACAGTGCAGTGGAGGACGCAGGTTTGGACATTTACAAAGACAACTGTTATGGCGTTAGCACATTTCATGCTGTTAAGGACTAGCTAGGAACACATATTTCTTCTTCAGTTTTGTTTAAATAAAAATAATTTCTTCAGCTTTTTGGAGAAAGTTTATCCCAAGTCTAAGAAACACAAGTATTAACATTTATTCAGAGACTCATTAAACTGGCAAACCCATTTTTTATGAGACAAAATATGTTTTCTTTATTAAGTGGTGACCTTTACCAGCGATAAACCGAACTTGGAGTGTATTTATTTTTTTTTTTTTTCTTTTGAATTTGGAACTTTAATGACGTTATTTACTAAATTGCAGTACTTTGCAAAAGTACTAAACTGACTGGGAGAGTAGGAGGAGTCCAAGTCCAAGAAGAGCCAAGATATCCAAAGTAGCACTGGAGAAGCAAATTCTCCAGAGTTCAGGTATGGGAATCGGTTAACATTACAACTACTAATTGTACACTTAAAAATACTTTACTGAAGAGTGACAAGAAGAAAGTCATTGCTAAAAGTAAGCCATAAGAACACTCTTCTGAAGTTTACCCAAGACATGAAGAGAATACCACAAACATGAGGCAGAAGGTGAATTTTTTTGACTATACGCAAACACAACTGTATGTATGATGAAAATGAACAATTATCATCATCATGAACACACAAAATATGAGAAAATCCTGAAAGGAAACCTAATAAAGTTGCAAAACGCCTGAGACTGGGAGGAGGCTAAACTTTAACAGCAGTTATTGCTGACTTGCCGCGATAACTGGAGTGAAGGGGAATGTTGAGTCAAAAAATTGGAAATCATGTATCACTTATCTTTCACTTGGCAAATATGGACTACTTTGTGTTAGTATGGCACATAGAATCCTAATAAAAATACACTGTTGTTTGTTGTTGGACAAAACTTCAAGTTCAGTGGGTATGAGTACTTTTACTACACACTGTACGTTAAAGGGAGCAAGGGCAAAACTGCATAGTTAAGGGAGATAAACTGAATTCCCCATATGGCCCAATTGTCTCTACACAAGCCAAAGAGGAGAAGCCAAACACAGTATCCAGATGAGCACTAATCATTAGGATATAATCCTCAGCTCCTGGGAGAGGCAGACCAGTTTGCACAGAGATTACAGGCAAGCCACCATTTATTGAGCCGAGGCTCATTCTGCAGAGGAATAAAGGAGACGAGCGTTGGAGGGGAGCAAAGTGCTGATAACAATGGATCTGCAAGCTCTTCAAACAAGTCGCTTCAACCCAAATCTGTGCCCTCTTCCATTGGTGTCTGATTATAAGGTTATCCCACCCTCCCTGAGCTGCAGTAATTGGATTAGTCTCAGAGATTTATTAAAATTAACTTCAGCAAACGCTGAACTGCCTCCTCAAAAACTCCTCATGGAGTTCTCAAATTCTAAATTACAGCACAACAGAGCAGAGCAAGTTCTGAGAGCCTTTTGTTTTTTTTGTTTTTTTTTTCCTCCCAAGAAGTCAACATCAACAGAAGCGGCACACAGCTGGAGACGGAGGCTGGGCCCGGGAAGCCGCTACCCACAGGTTAGGGCTGCTTGCTGGGCCAGCCTGGGTGCCAGGTGGCCTCAGTGCCAGCAGGCTGGGCCAGGTCTAATCAAGGATGTAGAGTCCAACTGGAGCTTCCAACATCTGCTCTCCCCGCACTTGGGTGGCTGAAGGCGAAGCTCAACTCGACTTGCACATAAGGAGAGTGACCTTGAGGAGGGGCACATTTCAGCAGACCAAATGCTCTAAATGAAAAAGGTTAACAGTATGAAACGAGACCAAAGGAATCCACATGGTTCAACAATGGCAACTGTGTCTGACATCCAGTGGACCACACAGCCTCAAAGTATAAATATTGCTGTTGTAACACTGTCAGCCCCTCATCCCTGCTGCCATTTGTTAATACCCCTTTGCCTCCATCAAGGCTTAACCGTTTGATTGTTCAGCCCTCAGTACAGGGTGGCAGTCCACTGAGCAGCAATCAAGACTGTTGCAGTTGTGTAAGTGAGAAATGATTGACAGCACGCTTAGTTGCTCCCATTTATTTCTTCTCCTGGGCTGTTTTCTGTCAGAACGGCTATTGATTTTTCCATAAAGTAAGAAAACAAATACCGTTTAGGGGCCGGGGAGGTCAGCACAAATTAAACCCGAAGACGTAAAGCCTTCTCTGCTCCATTAACGGCTACTTCAGTTGCTTGTGTGCTTCACATGATCAGATGATAATGAGATCCGCAAAGAAAATAAGCACTTGAAGAAAAACAAGAAGCTGACCGTTATATTTAAGGCTGAAACGATTAATCAGATTAAAAGCGATTATTCGATCTCTGAAAAAATCATCAACTAATTTAGTAATTAATTAATCAATCATCAACAGTACAGTATACTGACTAACAAAGGCTGTTTACTGAAAACACAACTTACTCAGAGCAATAATTAAGTCAAAATTTGCTAAAATATATACATTTTGCATTTACGAGAAAATAAACCTTCTTTGTGCCTAAACCTGTTCTACCCAGAACTCCTAAAGTGGCATTTTTAGCTTAACTTGGTTCAAATTCTGTAAAAAATAAAATAAAATCTCCAATTACCGGTACTCTGCAAAAACACATAATCTTATTTTGGTCTAGTTCCTAACACAGATGTCTTAGTACACTTCAAATAAGACAAAAACTAACTTACAAGTAACTTTTCATCAAGTCCTAGGGGCTAGTTTTAAGTCAATGTTTTGTTTGTTTGTTTGTTTTTTTTCATATTGATAAGAATGTTCTAGTTCCACTGGCAGATTATTTCACTTATAACATGGGAAAAATGTCTTGTTTATTCACCAGAAACTCAACAAAGAATAATTGACAAGATTTTGTGTTTTTTACAGTGTAAGCACCTTTTGATATCCAGTTATCCAGAAATTAGCCCTACACTGTATTCATGTTAAGTCGAGCAGAAAAGGCTGAGCTTTTCACACACTGCATTATCTGATCAAGCATTTTTTTATTTAAAAATTAATTTAATTATTAATGTATTTGCATCTTACATTACATTTCTAAAACTGTATAAATAAGACTTAGGTGGTTAAATTAAAATCTGCATAATATGGCAACTTTCTAATCTGATCAATTATAAGAATAATCAATATAACCATAACAGATTACTAAAATAATCGTTGGTTGCAGCACTAGCTATTTTTTTGTCTGATATATGAAACAGCAGTAGGAAAGTATAACGAGAGTTTGGATTTTCTGTGTAGGACTGTACAATGAAAATATTCAATAAGTGTGAAGAAAACCTCTATGCAAAAGACAAGAATCGCAATCTGTCATCCCACCAGGATCAATATAAACACATGGACTGAGGACTGCTATGGAAAACCATCGTCACTGAACACACTTCACTACAGCATCCAGGATGTAACCTGAAACTGTGTTATGAATAGGTGAAACCATACATCAACTCAAAGGTGGAAAGCCTGTCCACATCTTTGGACACAAGCTTGTATCAGTTGCACAGAAAGAATGTAACCACAACGATGTGGTCAGCTGAAGCCACTTTTAAGTCTAAACCCAGGGTTTATCCAGATAGAAGACTTTAAAAGATATTAAAGCCTGTTTGTGTGATTTATGAGGATGCATTAATGTCAACGGTATTTGTAATGTCCATTAAAAATACAACTAGAAGTTCGTGTGTGGATTTGTTGAAACATGCCGAAGGTGGAGTGTGGAAAACAATAAGAGCTACTAAAAGAGAAGCCTCTCTCTTTTGAAGAGAGGCTCAATTTCAAGGTGTTACATTGGGAGGTCAAATTTCTTTTAAGTTATGTTTGATATATAAAGCATTTTTATAACAATTGAAGGTAACATAGCTGCTTCTTTGTGCTATAAAATGTAATCACCACCCTGGAAAATACATAATGCGGCCCCTTTAGGGTATAAAATTGACATCCAATTTGACAGCTGTTTTCAAGGTACATTTTCCTCTGTGGTTTCATTCTTGTTTTCATACATTTACTAAATATAATGTAACAATCAGTTTGGCTTATAAAGCCCCTTGCTGGTGGAAGTAAGACCCACACTTAGCTTAGTGAAATGAAACGCACACAGGAAAGTTCACTCTGGGACTGTGGGACAAACAGAACTTTAATTACCAACCCAAAGTCAGGCATATATTTCAAAACAAATCAATACCACACCAAGTCACTTATTTATTTGTGACAATAGTTTTCAAAGGGCAATAATGAGCTGGGAGATGCCTGAGGGCAGAGCTGCCAAAGATCCCTCCCTCATCTTCATAGCAGGTAAAAGACATAAGGATGAAGATTATCATCCATTTATAATGTCAGCACTTCAAAATAGAGAAGAATGATTTCAGACTCAAAGGACAGTCTGACTATTGATAACTCAATTGATTACCACTTAGATCATTTTAAATGTGACTTGTTAATTTATTTATTCTTAAACTAAAAACGGTCCCTTCAGAATTGTTTTTTTTTTTGTCACGCAACTATTAATTTGTTGTTTTATTGGGATTTTATGTGACTGACCAACACAAAGAAGTACAAAAATATGAAATGAAATGAAATGAAAAGGAAGAACACAGATGGTTTTCCAACTTTTCAGAAAAATATAAAAAGTTTGCCATGTGTTTTAGTCAATCTGAGTTAACACATGGTAGAAAGTTTCTAAGGGCTACCAGATCTGCACATGGAGTCTGAAATGCTTGATCATTCCTAAAGTGAAAATGTTTAATTTATTTGCATCTGACTTGCAATCTTTGACTGGGCCAATTTAATTAATGATTATGCTTTGACCTAAACTATTTAATTGTAATTCTGGTTGTACGTTTAGGGTTTTTGTCCCGATGCAAGGTGAACCTAAATCCCAGTCTTCTCTCACCTAAGCTGCCACCACAATATTTCACAATAATTTCAATTCGATATAGTTTATTGTTATGTCAGTGATTCAAAACAAGGTTTACAGTTATACTATACTCTTTCCATTTTCAGATGATGGATTGACCAATCCTCTATTAGATGATCATAGATAACTGTTGTGTTCCTTGATGATGCTTCTTGTTTGTTAATGTTCTCTAACAAACCTTCATAGAAAAGCTGGATTTATATTAAGATTAAATTACACATACATGGACTCTGTTTACTGATTTGATTACCTCCACGCACATTTAGTGGCACTGGATTTTATTAAGTTGTATCAGAGTAAGGGGGCCAAGTACATATGCACGCCACACTTTCAGATTCATAAAACATTAAAAACATTTATCTTTCTCCCGCTAAGTCAAAATTAACTGCTTTATGTTGATGTGACCAACTCAAGATGTAAAGTTTTACAGATATTCTCTAATAAAATCTGTATCAAAATCCCTTATTTTCCTTTCAATATGAAAGAAAAACTGAATGTAGTTTTCAACATGAAAATGAAATAGAGATCACATTACCCGTCAGACATGTTCTCATCTGGACCATCTCTACGTTCCTTCGCCATCTTTCTTTTCCAGCACTCCTTTCCCATCATTCTACCTCCGTCTGTCTGTCTCTCAGGTCCGGTCCAGCTGCTCGACCTCCTCCTAGATCCTGACAAACGCTGAACCTTAGATGGCCTGTGCCTCTTCTTTCCATGATGCAACTTCTGCTGAAGTCTGACTGTCATGTCTGAAGTCATACGCTTGACCTTCCTGCGTCTTCTGAGTGGCTGTCCTGGATTGCTGTCAGTGAAGGAATCGGACTCTGGCCAAGATGGGTGTCTGGATCTGACAGGGCCGCCAACGACGCGAGGCCAGTGGTCAGTGGTGGCCATGTCATCTGAGTCGCTGTAGTTTGCCACAGCGGTGGTGAAGGTGGAAGATATGTTTTCCCTGTATTCTTTGGCCTCATCCAGGCTGGACTCAGAAGCCTCAATCCAGCGACGTCTGCGTGCCACCGGATAGATGGAGGACTCGTGAAGGCGCTTCCGACCTCTACGCCGCCGGATCTGTCGCCGATGCTGCAGCGGACTGAGGACCATTTCCTCCCACAGCTCCCCTAACTTGTTTTGCTCAGAGGCCTGCTCCAGTGCAGACACCAGGTCCTGCACCAGCTCATCCATCCTGGTTCTGGAAACCACAGAGGAAAGAGTTAAATCAGTCAACTGATTTACAAATACACAACACAGCAATCTGAAAGAACTGATGAACAAAGAAGAAGCAGCTTCTTTGAAGATCCCTTTTTTTGGACAATACAAAAACTCACATCGAGAAATAATGCGCTATTTTCTTTTCCATGTGTGTCTTTTTCTACTTTTTTTTCAAATATCAGCTAATTTCTCTTTATACAACATGAAAATAGGCAATAGAACTAAAAAAATGTAAAAATTATTATCAGAAATAACTGTGATTTTACAAAATAATAAAAAAAATAATAATGTTTTTGCATTACAGAATCCAAGAAGTGGAGAAACTTAAAATTTTACATTATTTTTCTCACTTAATTATTTTTTTTATATTAAGCAGAAAGTGATAAAAGCCTGGGGTCAATTTGTTATATTTCTAGTCAGACAGTATTAGAAAGTGTTCATATTATTGAATATTTAATATTACTATCAATTTTTTTTTTCCAAGCACTAGGAGACTTCACTGATCCTCCACTCTTGGTTATAACTATTTTGAACTAAGGTACTTCCTCCTATGAAAAATATAATTATCTGTTTAACTTTTATCTGTCTCTGAGTAGGCTCAAAGATTTGCATCAAGGATTGTTCTGTTTGTTGATGTGTTTATAGATCAAAAATGGATGAAAATGGGTGAAAAATCAAACTAATTTTGTATTTTTTGACCAACAAATCATCTATCAAAATTGACCTCTGGTCAGTCGATTGTTGCACATTAGCTCCAGAGTTATCTAAGTCAAGCATATCTGGACTTCGATTACACATTTTTGGCGCCAAGAAAATAGTGCTAAAACACCAATAGGTACAGCTTGCAGATTGAGGTTCTTCATCATTTTAAGTTACAATAAAAAACATTCACAGGAGATTACAAAAAAATCTGAATGAAAAAGACCAAACTCTGATCCACTGATTTTTCTATATTACCACATGTAATTCACTAATTATGCCGCCTTTCAGAGATAGCAGCAGGGTGACTTTAAGTCAAGCAGCAAAGCATTGATGAAGCTCGAACAAGAGCTGCTTCTCATTTGATTACATCAGTATAGAGGAGACCACCAAAAGCGTGTGCACTTTTCCAGCCGCCAAGAAAAGCTTAAAATGTCTTTATGACCAGTGAGTTATGCTGCAGGGCAGCTTTGCAGCATCACTGCAGCAGAACAACAGCAAAGGCACGCTGTAGTAATCTGCATGCTCTCAGCTGTTACATAACAGCTCACATGTGAGCTCGGCACAAGGACAGACAAATATCTCCCGAAATACCACCGAACCGAGCCATTTATGAGCGCTTAACGCGGCCATTGTCACACAGAAACCGTTTCTACATATCTACTATGAAGCTAAAAATAACAATTACACTCCAAAGGCTCTGAACACTCACCAGTCGATGCCTGTCTTGTTTTGTTTTCAGCTCCCAGCTGGGAAAACAGACGCACTTCCGCCCTGCAGTGCAGCCAATCAGGTGGCTCCGCCTCGCTGTGACGTAGTTCCAAAACAACACGCGTTCATGCAGATAGGAAGCCAGATGTCTGTCTACCAAAATCCAGATAACTCTTTGACCTCTGTTACACGACGTCCTTAGACTCATTACGTTTTTTTTTTATCATGAAACTGTCTCTGTAGCGTCAGAATATGCTCTGAAGAGTTTAAGTGTCTTATTCACAAATGATATGTAGCAATAGGGTGGCCAGGTTTGAATACCTTTCTTCCCTTAGTAAATTAAGTCATTATTTGCAGACTATGTTTTATATTTACACTGGATATCATTGTCCGACGGTATAATTTTGGAATGATATGAGTGCCATAAAATATATATTCTATTCTATTCTATTCTATTCTATTCTATTCTCAGAAAGATTGTAATTGTTTAGAAAAGGCCTCAGGTTTGTTAGAGAACATCAGTGAACAGACAGCACAGACCAAGGAAATTAGCAGACAAAAAGTTTAAAACTGCAGTACGAAAATATGTTTTTTACATATTTGTCAAAACTATCAATGTCGTAATAGTGTGGCATGAGACAGATAATATGTGAAAAATTGACTGACTTTTCCTAATGGACCTGCTGTTATCTACAGTAATACACTGCTCCTGGTCAGAAACAACCAATCAGAGCCAGAAGAAAGGCCTTAGCGCTGTGAATCATCCTCATGTACATGCTGCTCTCAACCTCCCCTGATCTCTGCTACGCTACAGGTGGTTCAGCACATCAGAAGCTGTCATGAACGTTCAGGTTTGGCCACCAGTGATGCAGTTTTTCTGTCATGGTAAGTTGTTTCTCTGTCGGTAGCACATTTAGCAGCACATACACGAGGTTCACTGACAGCTCTAAGATGCTCCTCCTGGCTCTGATTGGCTGTTTTTGACCGGGATTGATCTCAAGGAGGAGGTGTAGGAGTTTGATCTTTTCACAAATGATCTGTTTCATATTATGCTATCACGACATGATGACAGCTTTAAGTAAAACATATTTTTGTAAAAGTTGCATACTGCAGCTTTAAAACAGTTCTGCAAAATTCTGATCTTCTAAAATGTCAAAGAGCACTGCTCTACCAATCATTAAAAAATGGAAAGAGTTTGGCCCAATCACAAATCTACCAACCCAGGCATCCATGGTAACTCTGGGAGAGATGCAGAGTCTCTGGACTGTTTTTGTGCTATTCTCTTCACTAAATTAATCATCTTCATCTCAAGCTGGGTCCCTGCGCTCATTCTCACCACCACCAACCACACCTCATGACACAGGGGATGTAGATGCTTTGCAAGGTACTGCAGAAAATGATCTCATTATGGTAACTTTACGGACAATATCTGTTTTTCTGCTAACAATGTACCTTTAAAACAATATTAGACAAACGCTTTCTGCTAGAAGACGGCGCTCTGTAATGAAGAGTTGCTTTCAAAAGCCAGTGCTGTTGCAGAATCAGGCAGTAAAGTCATTTGCCACTTCTTTCATCTATCAGATGAAGACAGCCCAAATAATAAAAAAGAAAAGTCTGTGAAAACGAGTACAAAAGCTATTTAATCGTTCTCATCTTCTCTTAATAACTGCAAATTTCCCCCTGGGCCCAGGGGAGAGGGCCTCTCTGTGCCGCTGGCCCCTTATCTGCCTCCTCCACATTTCAGCAAGCTGAGCGGCTCCGTCAGTTCCCAGCTCCTGGCTTGTTCTCGTTTGGGGCCTGTGGGGAAGCTGGGCTCCTGGGTCCACCATTGTTCTGGCCTGGGAGGAAAGCCCAGAGAGAATACTGAAAACCAGAGAGTGGGAATATTAAAAAAGAAAGAAGAAGAAGAAAAACTTGAGCCACTGCTTCATTAAGTGGAAGTCTTTCACAAGCAAACATATCAGAAACAGAGCCCCTTTCAGAGGCAGTAATTAGCAATTTGGAAACCTTTCCCCCTCAGGATATACTGTTTCAATTTAGTCAGCAGCTTTAGATACTTTGCCACTTAATATTCATTGTTTCTACCATCTTCTCAATTTCTCTATGTACAATGTCTGGTCTTTCTTTGGTGATAAAATGCTTTATCTGACATGTAATTTTTCTTTTCAATGAGACTTCTGCAGGAAAAGCTAATTTGTATGAAATACTTTTAAAGGAATTATGAAAAATGAAGGGATGTGAGCTTCACAAAGCAGAGCTGGTTGAGGATTTTATGAGGTCCAAAGCCAAATCTCCTTTGGGGGCTCGCTTTCAGTCACCACGGCATCACAGATTTCCCTTTTGAAGCCAAAGCTTTTAGTTTGAAACTGTCATTTAAAGTTGAAACCAGAAATTTACATGCACCTAGTAAAAAGACACACACATTTTTCTCACTGTCTGATGTTAAAGCATGCCAAACTTCTTCTGTTTTAGGTCCAGAATAATTTCTATTTGCTAAATGTCATAATAACAGGAAAAAAAAATGTCAGAGATTTATTTATTAATAATTTCAAAATCCGAAATTTGCATGTATTTCCTCACCGTTTATATTTCCTTCAACTGTATGACTTAAATCCAACCTTTTCAGTTTCCTTCCTCCAGTTTGTTGAAGTTCTGGCCCATTCTGCCTGACAGAATTGGTGTAACTGAGTCACATTCTTGGGCCGCCTCACTTGCACACACCTTTCAGATCTTCCCAAAACTGCTCCACAGCACTGAGATCAGGGTTTTGTGACGGCCATGCCAAAATATTGACTTTGTTGTCCTGAAGACACTTTAAGCATACAGCTGCTTAGGGTTATTGTCAATCTGGAAGCCCCATTTGGGAATGAGCTTTAACTTCCTGCCTGATGTATCAGTCCCTCCTACTGTAAAACAGTTCCACAACATGATGCTACCACCTCCGTACTTCACAGTTGGGATGGTGTTACCAGGCTTACAAGTGTTCTCCTATTTTCTCCAAATATATCGATGGCCATTATGATCATAACATTTCAGGACTTGTCTCCAAAAATGAAGGTCTTTGTCCTGGTGTGCATTTGCAAACTTCAATCTGGCTCTTTTACATTTCTTTTGGAGCAACGGCTTCTTTCTCACTGAGTGGTCTTTCTGCCAATGCCGGTTCTGAGGTCAATTTGCACATGTTGGACCAAAACCCATCCTTCTCTGAGAATCTATCTCCCTCTTGGTCGGACTTTGACATTCCCATCTGGTCTACACTTGCGTATAATTGTTTGAACAGATGAACATGGTACTTGTTCATCTGTGCTGTGCATTTGGAAATTATAAGTAAGTAAGAAAGTATGTGAAGCTTATTTCTGAAGGGCTTTTCACAGACATAAAAAAAACCTAAAGCACCGTACAATAAAAATAACAGTGAAATCATACCAAAATTCTCTTCCTGATATCTTGGTTGATATTAGGAAGATCTGAGAAAGACATTGCCCTAGGAAAGTCAAATAACTTTCAAACGAGAAAGTAATTTGACTTACTCAATGTGTCAAACAAAAAAGCGGTGTGGCTTTACGATACATCCACAGGTGTGTATCCATTTAACTCAAATGGGTTAGTTAACCTATCAGAATATCAATGTCATAACTTAGGAAACTTGATGATCATCTAGGTTTTCTTTCAATGGTTTGAAGAGATAGTAATCTCTCTGTATGTAAACCTCTGATCTTGAAGAGAATAATAAATAAATCTCACATATCCTTTCCCTCATTATTGTGGCATTTAGTAAATAGAAGTTGGTAATTCTAACTGACCTAAATCAGGAAGGTTGTGTCTTAATTAAATTCAGACAGTGAGAAAATATTATTTGTCTTTTTATTTGGTGTATAAAAAGCAATTCAAACCTTCTGGTTTGAATTGCTTATGGGAAAAGTTTTTCAGAGTTTTGCAAATAAAGTTCCTGTATTTAGTTCTACACATAAACTCCTGATTCAAAAATACTGTTAGCATTAATTATTTGCTTGTGTTTATACCACCCTCCCTTCTGCATGGATTTAACAGCAAATGTTTCCCAGCTGCTTATTAAGCCAAACCACATAGCGCACCTCGGGGGGTGCAGACTCACACTTATCTTCGTCTCCATAGAGCCTTTGTTTCAAAATCTCACCACTCCCATTCATTTCCAATCAGCATTGTCTAATAGGAATAATTGATTTTTGCCTTTTCTTCGCAAATGAGAAATGCTTGTGATTGAACATTTTGTCTCTGAATCTAAATTCCAAGATCCCCATCAATACTTGAGAAAAATAGGCAACTCATTAAAGCAAAAAAAAAAAAGAGAGAGAGAGGGGTAGCTAGGATGTGAAAAGGAGAGGTAGGAAATGAAATAATGAATGGAGTCCGAGAGAGCTATCTTTCCCAGGCAGAGCGCCACTAGGGATGCAAACTCTCCGCCACCAGAAATGAGCTACCTATCTGTGAAAAGAGTGACTGCTCCATCCTATTTGATTTGGCTCTCCTATCATCTCTTAAGAAGATGTCAGCCTTGCTTCTTCTATTGCTCTGAGCCTTTATCAACCCGAAGATGATTTCCCTGCAAAATACAAAAAAAAAGAAAGAAAAGCAGAGAGAGAGAGAGGGAGAGCAGGAAGGGGGAGAGACACATTTCAGCGCCTTTCAGGGAGCAACACTAAAGAATAAGTGTTGTGCGATAAAGAGAGGGTTGTTAAATAGATCTGTCTATTTGTATGGTAATAATGATCGCTTAAAGACTCGACTCTCCGTGACTTGTAGAACAAGAAAATAAATCTGTATTCAGGTGTTGTGTTAACATGACTCTCCGAACGACCTTGTAAAACTTTCATACAGTAAAAAATGACTCGGATTTCAGTTTCTTCCTCTTCGTTTCATCCATTCAGAGAGGAGGGGTTCCCTCACTGGGAGGCACCGCTGTCCATCTACACACAGAGGTCCACTTCTGAAACATCTTCCTCAAAGCTATTGCAAGCAGACATGCAAACCCTGTTTAATCTAAAATATCCAATCTGGTGTCCCAAAACTGAAAACTGAAACTGGTTTGCAACACTGCTGCATTGCTATTTTTTCTCATTTGAGTGACTTTTTGATCATACACTGTTGAAGCAAGTAAGGTAGTTTAAAAAGGTAGAAACTTGAAGAAGATGAAGTCGTAAAAAAGCTTAAAACACGCTTTGGCTATGAAACTATA